AAAATTCCTGTTTCTAGAAGTTTTGTGTTATTAATACTAGAAGCTGTATTAAAAAAATAAATTTGATTTGTTAAATGTATACATGAAGGATGCAGTTGGTTTAATCTACTGTATTGTTTTTGTAATTATTAACAAGACGAATATGAGAATTATAAGATTGGAACAAATCGTTTATCATAAAAAGAGTACTTTGAAAATATTTGTTTTATCTGTAGGGATTATATAAGTACAATAAAACACCTCAATCTTATAAATTATATAATTAAAATCGATTATATTTGTTAAATAACTTTTTAATTATTTTGCTTGCATGAACCAATCAGTACTAATAAAAACAAGTAATGTGCCATTCAGTATACCTGTTTACCGCATGCCGATAACTGTATTTGCGTGATTAATTTTTTCTTTTACACGTCGTTACGTAGCAATGTAAGAAGTACTCGGTACACGTAACCTGTTACATGCAAATTTATTCTCTAGTTTTTATTTTCCTTCAAACCGCACGGAGTCGCATATTAACATTGTATTTAACATATGCGTTTCCATTAACATTTCATATTAACCGTGATGTTATTCGCTTGGATCATCATCGAAGTGTATACGAGTCAGTTTACAGCCTAAAGTAAGTAACGTACACGTCGTGTTAATATAAAACTCCGTTTTAAATCTCGATAGGCGGCAAAAGTTAGTGGGCCGCCATTTTGGTAGCTCCTCTGGTAGCGCATTTCCCACGGTGCACTGCGTCAGCGGTAGACGCGGCAATAGCTGCTCCAGGGGAATCCCACAAGAGTGAGAAAGACAGAGGCAGATAGTTGGAGAGAGAGCGGGTGAGCGAGCGAGAGGGAAAGGAATAAACCTGGGGAATAAAAGATAGATAGAGAGAGAAAGAGAGAAAAGCCGCGCAGGCGAGACGGCGTGTGTGCAAGAGAGAGAAGAACAGAGGGAGAAGAGTCACGTTGAATTGTACCACTGATTCCGGCTAGTGGAAAGATGGCGGAGGGTAATTCGAACACACATCATATAGCCTCTTGTTCGTCGCGCATGCGCAAAATAGGCACGTATACTGCGATGGTGTCGGTAGGCGGAGCGGCATCCAGAATCAACTTGTACCGGGTGGTACCGCATCACTGTCAGCAAAAACCGCATAAAACGGCACCACTCGCTTCTCTGGTGTACTGATGCAGGAGGGGGTTCGGGTTGTTCGTGGGGCAGGACGGAAGTTCAAGGCAGTCGTGGCGCCACGGGGACGCACGGGGAAGCGCCATGCTGACGATGACGCGCACGCACTCCCAGGTAATCGGATGACCGACCGTTCCTCCGTACCATTCACTTCTCTCTACTAGCCAATTCCTTTGAAATTCAATCGATGCTACAAAATTTTTTTTATCATTCCTCCTTTTTTTGTTTTTTGCTCGATATTAGCGTAAGCTTTTAAATATTAACCGGAAGAACTGGGGACAATCATGTTCACGATTTTCGTTCGGAGAAGGTACACGTTGAAGATCTGCTTTCTATTTTTGCGAATTCGTTCTTCGAATGTACAATGCTGTTCAAGAGAAAGCAACGAAATGATATGGATAAACTCGTGTTACACAGTACGGTTAAGGTTTCGTTTAAGCGTGATCACATTATTGTCAAAAATGTTACATTTACGTTATCAGGATGTGAAGAATATTGTAAGAATATACAGGGTGTCCTATTTTAATCTATGCACGCAATTATCTCCCGAGTTATTTGTTATTTGAAAAATAGTTTAAATGTACAACTTATTCTGTTTCAAGGGGGAGATCTTACGATGGACACAAGTTTTGAAGGTTATCTTTGCTTTTTTTTTTTTTAACGAAACTATAATATAAAGTTTCGTTTACCTAGGCGTGTAGCTCATCCCGAGACGAATTTCATCGGTCTACGATGTGTTAATTTCATAAATGAAATTACTTTTCACGCAGTTTCGTTGCTCCTTTAGAAACTGCTACAGTAATTGAAAGTATCGTGAAATTTTTAGAGCAGCGTCTCTGTTTCTTTCAATATACTTGAGTACGTTATAATGGTTGTGCATTAAGAGATGAAATTTCCAACTTTATGCTGTAATTACTGCAAGGAAATGAAAACGTTCTTGTACAGGAAATTCCGAATTTATTAGCTACTATTCCAACACTTTTTAAGATCAATATTAAAGTTATATTGTATTGTAATTAAAGTTAATATTGTATAAGTATATGAATTATTATATTTTTTTATCTTCGTTGTTTAATACATTCACTACGCAAGTTATCGATGATATTATTTATGTGTTAGGTAAACAGTAGCTATCACAGTTCTTTTGAAAAAGTTTTTAATTTTGTTATAAAATTACCCAGTGCTAAGAAAAATTATACATCACATGTATCAAACGCCTAAGTTTGATTACTGCACACTAGATCCGAGAGAATTCATTATAAAAAAGAATATAAACATTTAATATAGTTACTGTGACTAAAGTATACTATTCTGTGTAACTAACATACTTCATTGGTGCTGTAGTATCACTCTACTATTTTCTAACGCAAGTATAGTATAGTGATATATTATTTAATAATACATTGATATTGTAATATAAGAATAATAGGAATATAGTAATATAATATTGTAAACTTTTATATTATACAATGCTGTCTGTACTATGCTTCTAATATAGCGATAGCAATAACATAGTAATTCATAGTAATCTACAGTAATATAAGAAAAATATAGCGAACGAAAATTCCCAGCGATATAGGGCAAATGAATTATTGTAGTGTACTATACCTATAGTAATAGTTGTGTAAAAGTAATTTTATAAGATAGTAAGAATATTTATTGTTCTGATATATTATAATTGTAGCGATGGTATATTAATTGCGAGAAACGGTATTGTATAGCATGTTAATATTATGTTACAGTTATTCGTTAGCATAATAACCAAATACAAATGCATACTGTAATATTGTCAGTAACACCGGTGTTACTGTTTCAGAAATAAATAATGCACTAAATAGCAATAATAGTATCAGTAATTTTTGAATAGATATTTGTGGCGTAAGGAAGACATTCAAAACTTGTTTTCGCATATACAAGACGTTAAACAACCTTATCATACATCTTCCACTGGTTTCATCAATCATGCGTTATCGAAATATTGACATACCATGCGTTATTTATAAAAAGTTGTAGTGTTTGCTTGACAAAAATTTCACCTTAACGTAAGAACCTTTATTTACATAGTTGTGTTTTGTAGAGGGTAAATAACTGATGTATTCCAAATTCTAATTATTCAATTCCTTGCGTTCGTTTTTTTATGTATAAAAAAATATTTTTCTCCAATTTGTGTAAATAAAGTTGTAGCTATTCGTTGTATCGTTACTGTAACATTTAATTATTCCTATACTGTACAGGTAAAATGTGTTTAAATTAAACCACATTAGTTATTACGTGTCAAGTAAAACGATCTGTAGTTTTTATACACAAATAACTTTTTTATACGCCAATGCTGCCTGAAAATATAAGGTGAATATTGGGGATGGCGAAAATATCACGTATTATTAACAGTATGTTTGTGTATAATTTACATAACACCTTGCATATCGTACTGAACGATAAGGTCAACAGCTTGTGTACTTTTATAATTGTTTTAAACAACATGCATTTGCGTTAATAATTAAAATATCAAAACGGCGAAATACGGTCGAAAAATACGAAACCTTGAAAAATTGTATAATCTCGAAGACAATAAATGAATTGTATGTAAATGATTAGGGGAAATTATATCTTGTTGATTAAATCATCACAGTCAGGGTGTACCTACATAACGTTGTTTGTTGTTCAATGGGAACTATTGTAATTCTTCCACGAAAGAAGGGTGTGTAACTTTGAAAATGCTAAGTCTCGATGTTTCAACAGTAGAGAGTTCAGCATTAATAACATTTAAGCGTTTCGTAGCATTTTACACGTTTAGGAATGTGTTAATCCAGTGTTAAATACATTCGCTTGTCTTAATCCTCATAATAAAAGTGTCAAAGAAAGATCGAAGAGATCATTCAGACGTAAAGAGTATAAACGTGCTTATCGTGAAAAGAATTTATCTGTGTTTATCTGATGCATTCATGTCGAGCATTGATAAAAGATTACTCGATCGTGTATTTGTACTTTACTTTCTGAATTCTATTTGCATTACAAGGTTTATATACGTCACATTTATTCGACCGGGTATTTCATGAAATATTTCAATTTTAATCCGTTTCATTCGGTCTACATTCTATATTTATCCTTCAGTTGTAAGTATTTCATGCTGTTTTACACGTAGCTTTCCTTCAAACGGATTTTACTTAAAAAGAAAGCGCGGGAAAATATTCAAGTTGCATCGATAGATTCCGGGAAAGTCCTCGTAAACTCCCGAAAAAAAGAGGCGCGACCGAAGGAGGTGTGAACGGGTTTTGGAGGCGTAGCAATGGGCGTGGCTTATCAAGCTTCCACTACCCTCCTAGGCGTTCCTCCAGTTAGCTGTTAAGTAGGTAGTGGGGGTGACGGCATCGAACTCCGCCAGCCGCAGTCACAATTCAACCGTTCGA